CACACACACACACACACACACACACACACACACACACACACACACACCTAGGGACAATTTAAAGTTACCAATCAGCCTAACATGCATGTTTTTGGTCTGTGGGAGGAAACCGGAGTACCTGGAGAAAAAACACGCAGCACGGACAGAACATGCAAACTCCATCCAGAAAGGCCCCGGGCAGGGATTTGAACTAGCAACCTTCTTGCTGAGAGGCAGCAGCTCTACCAACTGCACAACCGTGCCGTGGGAAAAAAATCAATTAAAAAAAACACAAATCATGCAAACCTTCATCAGCTCAAATCTTTTTACCGTTTACACGATTACATTTCTTACAGGAACTTGCAGTAAGAAAAAAAACAGTAAAACTAAACTTTGACTTTCTCCATCTGGAGAAGAGGCATGTGTGGGTTAAAATTAAGACAACAAACATCACTGATGTCCCCGTCGCTGTTTGAACAGTGAGTGTTTGTAGTTTTTGAGATGAATGTTTTTCTGACTGGAATTGAACAGGGAACTCAAGTAAACCTTAATGTTTTTGATGCAAGATATTTAAGTGGAGGGCAGCACGGTGGCACAACTGGTAGAGCTGCTGCCTCTCAGCGAGCAGGTCCCTGGTTCAAATCCCGGTCCAGGGGCCTTTCTAGGTGGAGTTTGCATGTTCTCTCCGTGCATGCGTGGGTTTTCTCCGGGTACTCCAGTTTCCTCCCACAGACCAAAAACATGCATGTTAGGCTGATTGGTAACTCTAAATTGTCCCTAGGTGTGAATGAGAGAGTGAATGGTTGTTTGTCTCGTTTGTCTCCGTGTGTCCCTGTGATGGACTGGAGACCTGTCCAGGGTGTCCCCCGCCCCTCGCACAGTGATTGCTGGACATGGGCACCAGCGACCCCCGTGACCCAAAATGGAAGAAGCGGGTAAAGATAATGGATGGATGGATAATTAAGTGGGTTAGTGGGTGCCTCACTTAGTTTTCAAGTTATGCTCCCAGCATGCATGAACGGACAGAGGGTACTGGTAGTTCCAATTCCTCCTGTTTGCTTTTGTGATGAGGGACAAAAATGTAAAAAAGTAAACCCGACGATGGAATATAATTCTTATTCTTATTCGATAATAATCTGACTAAGTAAAATATTTAAAAAGTGCATCACACTGAGGGTTATCTTTTCTGACCATAAGTAAAAAGCAAAAGGGCGATAATGTTATTGCCTGTGTCTGTTTGTTAGCTAAATATTTCAAGCACCACTCAATGGATTTTAAGGAAACTATGAAAGGAATTAATGAATAAATATTTACAACGGATTAACTTTTGGGAGTTCCCTCATTCAATACAGCCGTCACAACAAACTAACCTTTGGAAACACAAAATAGTTTCATAAACATTAAGTGCAATTCTGGAGTGGTAGTAACTTCGAGTCATTCACAACACATGCTTCGAGCACTACACACTGCACAGCATCTTCATGTAAAATACCAGCTCCTTTCAAATCATAGTTCATGAAACACACAAACACAAACTCCCCTTTACAGCTCGACTGTCATACACACCACATACTGTTGAACCAGAGAGCTCAGCGTTGCATTGCCTTCATGACATGCAGCCAGGATGGAAGAACCGAAGGAAGCACAGTGCCTGAGACATGCAGGCGAGTTTCACTCATTATCACTCCAGTTTGTCATCATTGCTCTTAGCTCCTCTCTAAAATTATCTTCTTTTGTTTGTAAATTCTGTAGCCGTCTGGTTACACAGACTTTATGTCGTCACCAGTGCTTAATTTGAACCAGATCCTGCCGGAATAGGATCTTGGAACTCTCTTATTTTGACAGAGTGCGTTCTGTAATGGTTTGCTTGGATCTGGTATCTATCAGGCTTAATAATAATAAAGTTATGAACAAATAGAACTGTCTTGAACAAATAAAACCTATACTGGACATGTAATCTGAAAATAATTACATAAACACTAGTTTTAAACACAACAGTCACTTAAGAGCTTCCTAATATCACATGAGAGCTGCTCCTTCAAGTAAGCATTTCCACTTCTACCCTTAAAAAAATCTCCGCCCCTAAGAGTACAGTCATGGGCAATTTAATTAAAAACACAAAAATATAATTAAATAGCACAACTAAACTGCAAATAAGTTTTACAATTTAAGTGGGTCATTAATAAAATTTTGACTATTTATTAAAAACACGAGAGAAATGTTTGATGGGTAATTATGTTTCTTACATCACGCATCAAAACAACAATGCTAATTTAAACAACAATGCTAATTTATCAAAATAACAGTGTCGATCAAAAAAGCCGAAAAGACAGTCCAATTTACTTTTAAAAAAAAGTCTTCTCATTTTACAACTAAACAACTGAGAACTGAAGCACATGAATGGAGCTAAGGCTCCCACATACTCAGGCATACTTCACTCCATAGAAGTCTGCACTTACTCGAGGCGGACTCCATGCGGACTCAAAGCAGAAGTCCACCGACCATGTCCACGCAAAGATAAAATTTTATGACCACATACTCGGTGTCGCATAATAAACTGCCCGGCGAGAAACAGTGTTCACATCGAAATGTTTTGTATGCAACACCAACCGCTCTCAGATAACGGCTTTCAGAGAACATGAAATTCATGAGAGGAAGTAGATCAGACCCTGGATAAGGACAAGGTACTTTGTCGAGCTAAATGGAAGTACCTCAGGGACAGATTTGTTAAGGCAAGAAAGAAGATGAGAGGGAAAAGTGAGGATGAGGCAAAGGGAGGTGTCCCACCTATTTTTTCTATGCTGTCTTGGCTGGACACCTTTGTAAAATGCCGGGAGACAGACACAATCTGTCTACACAAAGCTTTTAACATCTTTAATACATTATACAACCAATGGGGAGTCACTCACTGGCATATTTACTCCATCCAATTCCACCCACATCATTGAGAAAAACAAAAATAAATGGATAACAAACCTTGGTTGAGTTCTTCGTGCAGGGAGCCATGACTCGGACTGGATGGAGCTCCTTCACAGGGACTGTCTCCATTAGGAGTCAGAGAGATGTGACAGTTCCAGCCTGTCTCTAAGCCCATCTTCTCTGCAAACACCTGCAGACACAAGGCTCCTCACTTCAGTCTCACATTACCTTCTGACAGCACAGGGCTGAAAAGTTCATGCATGATAAAAAGTCCACACTGAATCTTTAAACTGTGTCATTTTAGCTCTTTTTAGATACTCATCGATCTGTTCATGAAGCCAGTGAGCCGGTGGTCACTTTCAGAATCAGTATGAATCACAGTCATTGCACCAACATTTTCACAGGCCTGACTTCTGTTGTTTAAGAAAAACAACTTAGCTCCTTTAAAATGTAACAACTTTTCATGCAAATCCTCTTTTATAAACCTTTACATCACTGTCACTTCTGCATTACTGTTTTTTTTTTTTCACATAAAAGTCTATGATATTTATGAAATCTGCTGGTTTCCACCATCATCTTACTCATTGGTGGTTTTTTATTTACATTTTCTTAGAACAGAAGTATAACATACAGTGAGGAAAATAAGTATTTGAACACCCTGCGACTTTGCAAGTTCTCCTACTAAGAAATCATGGAGGGTCTGAAATTTTCATCTTAGGTGCATGTCCACTGTGAGAGACATAATCTAAAATTTAAAAAAATACGGAAATCACAATGTATGATTTTTTAATAATTTATTTGTGTGTTACTGCTGCAAATAAGTATTTGATCACCTGCCAATCAGCAACAATTCTGGCCCTCAAAGACCTGTTAGTCCGCCTCTAAAAGTCCACCTCCACTCCACTATGGATTTAACATCTACCGCTGTGATCGTCAAAAAAGGGGGGGTGGAGTCGCTATTTACATCAGAGATTCTCTGGTTGCTAGTCTTGTGTCTTCTAAAACAATTCCAAACCAAATTGAGGCCTTAGATGTAAACATCACTTTGAATGGAGGCCAGATTTTATATGTAGTGCGTTGTTATCGTCCCCCCTCAGCAACACCTGAGGCTCTGTCCTCCCTGATGGAATTCCTTGGTAATTTAAAATTCAAAGAGATTTTGTTGGCAGGAGATTTCAACATTGACTGGGATAAGTCGACCCCCCTCTGTGATAAATTCAAGGAATGTTGCTTGTCTCTCAACCTAACCCAACTCATTGACTCTCCCAATAGATGAAACAAAAACCGTCCTGAAAAGTCTTAGACCTTTTTCTAACAAATACGCCTCACAAATTCCCTGGTACAGGTGTACTCACTAACATTTTGAGTGATCATTGTGTGACAGCAACGCAGAGATATTAAACTTCCACCTTCTAAGCCCAGATTAATTAAAAAAAGGGATCTGAAACATTTTTGTGAACAGTCATTCCTCTGGGATCTGTCTCACTTTGACTGGCATCGTATTCTATTAACTGACGACGTGAACTCCGCTTGGAACTATTTTCATAATAGTTTCATTTATTTTGTGAACAAACATGCTCCTTTCATCAGTTCAGAATAAAGGGACGAGACAGCCCCTGGTTTACTCCAGAGCTAGCTGACCTCCTGCACAGGAGAGATCATCTTTGGGCCACAGCGAGAAAATCTGACTCAGACACTGATTGGTTGAGTTTTCGACAGATGAGGAATAAATGTACAACTGCTGTCAAAGCAGCAAAACGCAACTATTTCTTATCTCAGACCTCCAAAAACCTAAATGACCCCAACAGATTCTGGAAAACCCTCAAATCTCTCTCAGGCACCCCCCAATCATCTGACCTCCCATCACAACTTCTCATTAACACTATTCCTGTGTCAAATAAGCACGAGATCCTGAACTGTTTCAACAAACATTTTGTTGCTTCTGGTTCTTTATTTGACAAAGTTACTAATGGAAAATCAGCCACTTCACTTAATAACCAAACTTCTACAAATCAAATCCCTCTTACAAGTCAATCCTCAGTTAATCACACCTTCTCTTTTTCTCCATTCTCAGTCAGTGAGGTCAATAAACTGTTAAAAGATCTTGATCCTAAAAACTCTGCAGGTCCAGATGAACTTCCACCTTATTTCTTAAGGCTGGCTGCTCATATCATCACAGTCCCTGTGACCCACATCTTCAATCTCTCCATGAGACAAAACTCCATCCCAGACACTTGGAAAACAGCCTTTGTTCTTCCTTTGCTGAAGGGAGGTGACCCCACCTCACTGAACAACTATGGACCAATCTCTAAACTCTGCATTTTAGTCAAGGTTCTAGAAAAACTGATAAACTCTCAAATCAAAAATTACCTGGACTCATTTAACATCTTACCTCCACATCAATCTGGTTTCAGGAAACAACACAGCACAACCACTGCTTCACTGAAGGTTCTTAATGACGTTGTTAAAACATTGGATGCTAAGGATTATTGTGCTGCACTTTTCTTAGATCTGTCTAAAGCTTTTGATACTGTGGATCAGAACATCTTGTGTCATAAACTCTCAGAAATTGGTTTCTCAGATCACACCATTGGTTGGTTCTCTAACTATCTTTCAGACCGGAGGCAATGTGTTCAACATAATGGTACTTCCTCCAGTTATTTAACAGTCAACAATGGTGTACCACAAGGCTCAGTCTTAGGACTCACCCTCTTTACAATCAACATACGTAATGTCGGTAAAAACATCCCTGATGCATCCATACATTTCTATGCTGATGACACAGTTGTTTATTGTCAAGCTAAAACTGTTGCTAAGGCTTTCCAGCTTTTGAAATCTGCATTCAACATCATCCAGACAGATTTGTTTCACCTCAAACTTGTCCTAAATGCAGAAAAACCAAAAGGATGCATTTTTCAAATAGGAAGTTGGTCCCAGCAGTTCTTCCTTTGATTTCATCCTCAAATGGTGTCCCCATTGAGTTTGTTGATTCCTATAAATATTTGGGTATCTTGGTCGACTCGCATCTCTCTTTTAAGTTTCATGTGGAAAATTTGGTAAAGAAACTGAAAGTTAATCTGTGTTTCTTTTTCAGAAACAGATCCTGTCTAACTCTGAATGATAGGAAACACCTTGTAACGGTGACTTTCCTTCCCTCCATTGATTACGGTGACATTATTTACATGAACTCTCCTACAAGAACCCTGCAGATGTTGGATGCTGTCTATCATGGTGCACTAAGATTCATAACTGGCTGTAACTATCGTACCCACCACTGCACCCTGTATTCACTGGTTAACTGGACATCATTAACTTCACGCAGACTCTCCCACTGGTACATTTTCATCTTTAAATCACTTCTTGGTCTGCTGCCTTCATACATCTCCTCCTACATGTCTCTGCGTGAGTGCAGCTACAGCGTGCGCTCTCAGGACATTATTACATGCAGTGATCCCTCAGTGCGAACTGAACTAGGCAAAAGGCCCTTCTCCTACTCCGCTCATGTTTCCTGGAATATCTTACAAAAAGATTTGAAGCTCTCGATCTTTGACCTCTCTAAGTGGCTTTAAAAATCTGTTGGACTCCTGGCATGGACCAATGCAGACATGTTCCTGTTTTTAGTTTTCTACATTTGCCTTATAATCCAGCTGTTTAAGTTACTTTTCTTTTTTTTAGCCATCCTATTTGTAAAAATAAAAATTGTATGACTTTTTATAACTGTTTATTGTTGTCGCTGTTGTCCATTGATGTCATCATTCTTTGTTGAAATCAGGTCTCTCTTGTAAATGAGTCCTCGAGGCTCAATGGGATTTACCTGTCTAAATAAAGGTCGAATGAATGAAACTTATTATTCTAAATTAGAAGCACCTGTTTGAGGTCGTTAGCTGCATAAAGACACCTGTCCACCCCACACAATCAGTAAGTCTCAAACTACTAACATGGCTAAGACAAAAGAGCTATCCAAAGACACCAGTGACAAAATTGTAGACCTCCACGAGGCTGGAAAGGGCTACGGGGCCATTGACAAGCAGCTTGGTGAAAAAAGATCGGAGCAATTATCAGAAAATGGAAGAAGCTAAACATGACTGTCTATCTCTCTCGGACTGGGGCTCCATGCAAGATCTCACCTCGTGGCGTATCAGTGATCCTAAGAAAGTTGAAGAATCAGCCCAGAACTACATGGGAGGAGCTGGTCAGTGACCTGAAGAGAACTGGCACCACTGTTTCCAAGATTAATGTGGGTGATACACTAAGACGTCATAGTTTAAAATCATGCATGGCACGGAAGGTTCCCCTGCTTAAATCAGCACATGTCCAGGCCCGTTTGAAGTTTACCCATGACCATTTGGATGATCCAGAGGAGTCATGGGAGAAAGTTATGTGGTCAGATGAGACCAAAATAGAACTTTTTGGTCTTAATTCCACTCGCCGTGTTTGGAGGACTAAGAACGATGAGTGTCATCCCAAAAACACCATCCCTACTGTGAAGCATGGGGGTGGAAGCATCATGCTTTGGGGGTGTTTTTCTGCACATGGGACAGGACGACTGCACTGTATTAAGGAGAGGATGGCCGGGGCCATGTATTGCGAGATTTTCAGGAAAACTTCCTTCCTTCAATTAGAGCATTGAAGATGGTCATGGCTGGGTCTTCCAACAGGACAATGACCTGAAGAACACAGCCAGGAGAACCAAGGAGTGGCCCCGTAAGAAGCATATCAAGGTTCTGGACTGGCCTAGCCAGTCTCCAGACCTAAACCCTATATAAAATCTTTGGAGGGAGCTCAAACTCTGAGTTTTTCAGTGACAGCCCAGAAATCTGGCTGATCTAGAGAAGATCTGTGTGGAGGAATGGGCCAAAATCTCTGCTGCAGTAAACCTGGTGAAAAACTACAGGAAACATTTGACCTCTAACTGCAAACAAAGACTACTGTACCAAATATTAACATTAACATATTAACTGGGTCTCCTCCCGGTGGGATATGTCCGGAACACCTCACCAGGGAGGCGTCCTGTAGGCATCCTAAACAGATGTCTGAGCCACCTCAATTGGCTCCTCTCGACGTGGAGAAGCAGTGGCTCTACTCTGAGTCTCTCCCGGATGATCGAGCTTCTCACCCTATCTCTAAGGGAGAGCCCAGACACCCTGCGGAGAAAACTCATTTTGGCCACTTATATCCGAGATCTCGTTC